CCTGGATTTTGAAAACTTGCTTGCCTTGTGAGGCTGGTCTTGGTTGACTGATAGCTACCTCCCTTCCTCAGTCTTGTGTGGATGGAGAGGTCTTCCCCTTATTTTGTCATTTGAGTCCAAGGCTTGTGGCCGCAACTACTTTCACCAACAGTCCACCAAGGGACAAACACCTTTTTTTTTACAGCCAGCGAAGCCCTTTTTTCAGGTAGCACAGATGCAACATTACGATTTTTTATACATTGAACAGATGTGTCTGTACACAGAGAGGGGGACACTGAACAGTTGTAAAGCCTATAAATGCAGATGGCTCTATATATTGTCCTCAGTTGAGGTTCTTCAAATAGCAAAAATGGTGGTTGTAGGATGCTTCCTGTATAGAATGCATCAGCCTCCAGATGTTGTTGGACTTGTATCTGCTGTCAACTCCATCCAGCGTGGCCAGTGGGAAGGGATGATGGGGTGTAGTGTCCGGTATGAATCCAGAGAGCAACAAGTCCCCCACTGTCCTTCTTTCCATGTCCCGCCTGGCCGGCACAGGAGAACTGACTGGGTGTCAGACAAAATCATTTTGTCGAATTAAGTCTCAGCAGGATTTAAGTCCAGCTAGTTTAGAGTCCTATTAGGGTCACTATAATTTGGTTCCAACTTGAAAGCAGATAACATACACAGTATAGTCTGGATCCAGCCCATTCTGCATTGACCCACTGATGTGTGTGAAATGGACATTCCCTGCCACTGCCCCCCCCCCAGAGGATCAACACAACTGTGCAAACTAGCTTCCCACATTCCTGCATTGGGCCTTGTTCCAGGAATCGGCTCTCAACTGCTTTTCCAAATTTGCATCTCCATTTGCATCACTGATGCATACAGAAGCTTTCTTCTTATCCCAGTGTGCTCACGTCCTCTTCTCTGTGCATGTCTGTTCATTTGTGCAGTGAACCCCCACCCCCACCCCATGCACAGCCACACTCTTCTCTAGTCTGGCCATACCATAATGAAACTTAAAAAGCAGTCCAGCTGCAGCCATTGGTTTCAGATTTACTGTGCATCCATGCCCCGAGGAGTCCAGATTTTGCCCTTTGAATAATCTGTGTCAGTTAAATGACAAAACAGTTTGGTTTCCCACATGGTTTGAAGAGTCTCTCTGGTATCTTGTAATACGAGTGGAAGGGTGGCCTTCCAGATTGATTGATTTAAAGTATTTTTGCCTCGCCTTTCTCCTCAAAAGGATGCAAGGCGACTGGGTCCAGATGTGGTTGGACTGCGACTCCCATCAGTTCTAGCAGGTACAGCCAGTGGTAGAGAACTGCTGGGACATGCGTTCAAGCAACACCTTGAAGGACCATACTTTACACATCCGTTATAGTTTTGTGGAGTCTAGAGAACCTGCCAGACTCTTTGCCTCTTAACTCCCGAAGACAGAGCAAAGGCAAAAGTGGAGCGGAGAGGAAAGTTGGTACTCCTTGTTGTGGGGGAGAGTCACCTAGTCCAGGGGTTGGGAACCTATGACCCTCCAGATGTTTGAGGCCATTGCTCCCACAGTCCTTTATCTCTAGCCATGCTGCAGGGAGCCAAAACATCTGTAGGACCAGTGGTTCTGTCCCTTGGCTAACACATTGTTTCCACAGTTGGGTAAGCTACCTTGTCTAAAGCCTATCTAGATCCCTTTCCTCTTGCCATAGCCGGCTCATAGCCTGCTTGCCTAGGCTAGAGGCCCAGACTATGTCTAGATCCCTTTCCTCTTTGCCATAGCTGGGTGCTGCTTGCCTAGGCTAGAGGCCCAGACTATAATCCATCAGCAGAAGATCTCCTGTGGTTCCCAGAACCTTTGTTTGGACCAAGCAATGGCTAATGAGCTTCCTCCCCTTTGTGGCCATAGTAGGCCACACAATACCTCTTCACCACTTATAGTAACTATTCTCAGCTGGGGGCATAGGGTCCCCTGGGGGGGGCCCTGGCGCCTTTGAAGGAGGCCACAGACTAGAAACACCCTTCTTCATGCACCACTTTATAATGTTTGTTGTGCAACTTTTACAATCCTGATTTGGCCTATATTTCTTTCATATGTTTAAGGCCATGGCCAAAAAAAAAAGGTTGACAAGGGTTGACTTGTAGCTTGGGTGCTTAAAGCCAGGTTGGAACGCTGCTTCCGGAAGGAAGCCGGAATGTGTGAGCAGCCAAACACTGCGAAAAGCTGCCTGTGTAACTCGGGTAACTTCAACATCACCAGAGAAGAGGCTTTGGTTAGGGATCAGCTGTCCGTACAGCCTCTGTTGTGCTAGGTCTAGAGGTATCATGAGGCCTATCAGTCACCCTTCTTGAAAATAGGCAACCTCAACATTGCTCCCCCCTGCCAGTCACACTTTGGCATTTTGGTGGCAAACACATTACTGCTTAATATGTCATACACTTAGCACAAATAGTCAAGTTTCAGTGGGGCAGGCTGAAAAAGACAGTTTTTTTCTGCTTCCTGTTACTACTTTGCTGATGTAAAGCAAGAGGCAGGCAGATATCTGGCTTCTGGGGTCTTTTTTGAACTGCAGAAGGCCACCAACGTGCAGAATGTAGAAATAAGAAAAAGGGAATGTCCCTCAGCACATGCTAAGCTTTTCAATATCAGAACTGAACCAAACCCAACATTTTTTTCATGTAGGAGACTGTTCCTAGCAGGGCGGATTAAAAAAATTATTTGTAAATTAAAAAAAAATTTTTTAATGGATTTAAATCATAATTTAAATAAAAGTCAATGTTTTTACTTGAATCATTAAAAAAATCCATTTTTAGATTTTAAATCAAATCCACCCTGGTTCCTGATTTTTCAGTTCAGTAGCCTAATTTAGAAAGGTGGGAGGGAAGCATGGTGGGGGTGGTGAGGAACCCTTGTAGGGCTACTACAAATTACTCAAAGATACACCAGTAGATTCCCATCTGTCTTTTGCCCAGTTCTGACGAGTATGGAAAAGCAAAGCTGCAGTCCTAACACCACTCATAGAGTTCCCACTGCCACCAACCAGGACTATTCCTCTCATTCTGCCCAGAGCACCAGAGAAGGTCGGGGGTTGTGTGAAGATGTCTCACTTCATCTTTCCGCTTGCATTTGCAGGCCCACTTTTGCCAGCCAATGAAGGTCCTTTGAAGTTACTTTTCTCTTTAACCCTATACTCTCTTTCAGGTGATGATCATATAAAAATGATCATCACCACAAAACAGACCTGGCAGGGATGAACCCAGTTTTTCTCAAGATACTAAACCAGTTTGCTCATCTAAACCCTATGAAAATCATGGGCGATTCTAGTAATCCATTTAAAAAAAAATTGCTGAGAATAAATTCCTTTTTAATAAATGCCACCAAAGACATTGCAAGGATAGATGCTGCTGATACTCCCAGCAGGTTCATGAGAATGCAAAATGTTGCCCCAAGGTGGAGTCTCTTTGGCTCATGTGGCAGTCTTTGGGCCCATGGCCTCTGCGTTATTCTGTACATGTGGATCTGTGGCCCATTTTTCAAGATGCCCAACTTTGATAAGATGCTTGGAGCCGGATATGTAAAGGTGAATGGATGCTTGCATATGGTACAGATTGATAGGCTTGCATGTTGACCAAAGAGCAGATAAATCTTTATGATCCTCTTAAGGATCTTCCTTCTACGGTCCCATCATTTCTAGTTCAGTTCCTACTGCTCATGCACCCTAGTTGTCCCTTCTGTTCTCTTGCATCAGTGGCAGCTAGTGCTGTGGTCAAATTGTGCGGCTTACCAGAATCCAAGGGGGTCATATTTCATGTGCCCATGCTGCAGTTTTTCTTGAGTTTTTTCTTTTAATACTCATATCCTTGGGCTTTCACGCCTTGATACCATATGTACATGCACACAGATATGCATCACCTTTGTATCCATCTATGAATCCATGTTTTGCTTGTGCAAGTGCAAGTTCATGCCCCCTTGCACAACCATTATGGTTTTTTGTTTTCTCATTCCCAGTTGCACGCTCTTCATGCCTTGTGTGTGTTCTCCGGAGTTCACACTTCTGTCATCGAGCACGCCCTTGTTTCTGTACGTTGTTCCTTTGCTGCTGTGCCTGTTTTTGCTTTAGCCCTACAAGCAAGGGCTGGCCTGAGACATTTTCCTGCCTTCTGCAGTGGTTGACATGCTGTAGGATCCATACAGTTTGCCCCAGAATCTGTTTCGGCATCAGCAAGGATGCTGAAGCTCACAGTACTTGAAATGTGGATTGGTTTCTTGACATCCCGAAATAGTGTTCTTTGAGAAAAGTTACGTTTTTGGACCACAAATTCCAGAATTTGGCAGATACAGGCCAAAAAAGTAACTTTTTGAAATTCAGCTTGAAGCGAACTCTTGCTTTCTCCAGTTGGGCTAGCATTAGACCCGAGCTTGTTTTATAGTCCTGAAGTGTGCATGGCTCACCTCTCCCTGCCTTTCTACTTTTACCTGTGACCTTTTTTTTGTTTTTGTTTTGGCAGGAACCTTGAACAAAGAAGCCACATTAAGGTCCAACACTCAGTGAAGGGGCCAAGCTGTGTCCGGGCTGTACCACTTCAGATTCCAAGTGGGGGCTCGTGTGATTGAAATGTTCCTCTGCACCAAATAAGTGTTCACTGCACATAATCTCTGCCTGCATCTCAGGAAGTAGAGGACTCCTCTAGGGAAGGAGGGATTGTAGTCATATGAGCTCCCATCTGCAATCTGCAGTGGAACATCCCAGGCTCAAGTTGTCCACTTTACTTAGAATTAGGCCTTGGTTTTCCAGCCATTGACTCATAAAACCTATACAGTATCTATACATGTACCGCTATGTAACATGCATTGCCCCACAGGTGGGGTGGGGTGGGGTGCGGAGCAGTAGAGGATATATTTACTTTTTTCTCTTTGCCCCCTCATTTGTTTTCACACAGTTTTACGCTCTTGCCCCTTGTGTGTTTTGATGTGCCTCACAACTTTGTTTTTGTAGGGCATTCTTACCCTTGAGAGCCCCGTTTGTTTCCGGGGGATTCCCCTTGGTTTGCCCCTTCTCGTTTGGCCCCTCGCTTGCACCCGGAGGTCCTGAGCTTGCATGTCGCTCTTTGGCATGCTCTTCCCACTCCCACCCACCTCAGACTGCCCCGGGATTGTGAGTAGCAGGGTTGTGACCTGGGGCCCTCTCATCTCCCAAGAATGGCAAGCTTTCGAAGAACAAGCGGAAGAAGCTGAAGAGGAAGCAGAAAAGGCAGAGCCAGCTCCTGGCCGAACGGCTTCGGGACCTTCAGCAACTGGAAGACCTGTCGGCCGTGGCGGCGGGCGATGCCGGCGAGTCAGCCATGAGCCCAGGTGAGTTTTGGCCGTAGATAGTCACCGGTCCCTAGACAAGCCTACGCACGGAGAAGCTCGTTCCACCCCACCCCCACCATTTACTCACTTGCCTTCACGCCCCTTTGTGCCCTGTTTACAAACTAGGGTTTGTGTACCTTTCCACATTGCTCTGCTTTTGGTTGGTTGCCTGGGCATTGGCCTGGCATTGGCCACCGTTGTAAGTTTCACTGCCATGCTTTGCTCTCTTGATGACTTGTCATAGGCAACAAGATAATAAGAATACTTTGTTTAGCCCTCTTGATGTCCGCTGTGCATGTTTGCCTTTGTATGTAGGAAGGGCAACCTTGGATGTGATTTTTTTTTACCATGGGAATCTGTTGCAGGGGGAGATGGTGCTAAGTGTTCTACAAGCGCTCATTCAAAGAGTTATGGTATGAAAACCATCTATGTACTAATGTCTGAATATATCCCTCCTCCCCACTGTTTTTAAAACCATTCATAAAATGGCAGCAATCTGTTATAACTTCTTACAAGAGGTAAGGAAAAGATAACCCTGAATGATTTGTATGCTCCATCACATCAGACTTCAGCTATATTGGCACATGTTTTCAAAAGCAGTTATGCCAGTGCCTGTACAGCTGGTGCAAGCAAGAAAACTCATGTGTTTTCCCAGTGTCACGTTCTGGGTCAAGTTCTCATGCAGTCTGTAAACCTATGTCTAAACATAAAATCCATAGTGAATCATCGTAAAGGCTGTTCTAGTCAAGCATTCTGTTCACACCCTTCCCAATCAAGGTAACCTTATGGGAAGTCCACAGGTCAGCCCTCCTGTGTACTGCAGAACAGCTCTAAGTAAAAGGCACAATTCCTCTGATTCTGGAGGTTATATCAGAGTCACTGTGATATTCCAGCCATTGACAGCTTCAGTCTGCCATAAATTTGTCTTAATTCTGTTTTAACACCACTGAAATTCACCACTGTAAGGAAGACCATACTTTTTTTTCAAAAAACAAAACAAAACAATTTAATGTTCTGAATCAGGGTGGATTTGGATTAAATCACATTGATTTTAAATTTTAAATTGATATAAATTACAATTGACATTTTAAAAATCAGAATTTTTAAGGATTTAAATCAAAAGAACTTTTAAAAATTTAAATCAATTAGATTTTTAAAAAGCCTTAATTTTTATCTATGCTGTTAAGAACCTTCTAACCTACAGCTTTAATGAATGTTGCGCATGTTGACTTGCAGTCCTGGAAAGTTTCGCATGGAACTGGAGCTCTGGTTTGCAGACTAGGAACGTTTAGTATGCCTGGTTTGCTGCCCTTACGGCAGCCTACATGGCTTTGGCTTTATTCTGTGACCACAACACCACCTGCTGGGACATGATCCTCAAGACCCTCCCCAAACTAGAATTTGTCCCGCCCCATTCCGCTCCCCCTGGCCTCGAAGAACTTTTAGTGAGGTGAGCCCACCTTTGGTTTGAAGTAGAACATCCTCCAGACCCAAGCGGACTGTCTCAGTGTGAGTTAGGGCCATAGCAAGAAAAGCACTTTGCATCTTTTGTGTATACTGTCATTGGGGTATATAAACGTGTTTTTTTATATATTTTTCAATCTGTATTATTTAAGTAGGGTGTAGGTTGCCTGTTGGACAGGCAGCTCCTGCCCCTTCCTTGGAGAACCATTCAGGCCTGTACCTTGGTTGTGCCACCTTGGCCAGTGAGGTTTTTTGCCTTTTCACTCCACACAATTGGGGCGCTGTGTGAGAAACCTAAGTCCTCTTATTTCTTCTTCCATAGAGCTGCATGGTGGAGCCCCCATCCCAATCTCCACCATTGGAGGGTCAGATCCCATGGGGGGCTCTTTAGCCTGCAGCCCCCAAAGCTTGACATCATCTTCTGGCTTCTACACGCACAACGCCTACGACAGCTGCAACGGGCACTCTCCGCCTGGCACTGCCAGCCGCCATTTCAGCCCAGAGTCTGCAACCTCCGGCTTCTCAGGGTCCCTCTTCTCCGGCTCAGCCATGTCGAGCACTTCTAACCAGCGAGAACGCGGAGGGCTTCTTTCCCCTAGCAGTAAGTATTGGTCTTCCTGTCTCTTAACCACCCCAGGGCAAGGGAGTTCAGGAACCATGCAGGATGAAACATTCCACCACAGCCCTGACCTGCTGTCTCTGCATGTGCAACTCCACCTCCTGTAGAAGGCTCCTGCCTGCCCTGAGATGCCTTCCGTTGTGATAGCAGAGGCACGCCTTGTTCCAGAGTTTAAACTGTGGTAGCAGAGGCATGTACAGTAGTACCTTGCTAGATGACGACCTCGCAAAATGACAAATCTGCATGACGAGGTTTTGCGATCGCTATAGCAATTCACAAAACAGTGATTTCAGTGGGCGGTTTTCGCTGGACGATGATTTGGTCCGTGCTTCACGGACTGTTTTTTTCATAATAAGACAATTTTTACAGCTGATCGTCAGCTTTGCAAAATGGCTTCCCTATGTTTTCAGGACCGATGCTTCGCAGGACAGCCATTTTAACATCTGATCGGCGCTTTACAAAATGGCTGCCCTGTGGGCGATCTTCAGAAAACGACGGGTTTCAATGCATTCCAATGGGAAAACAGTTTTCGCAAGATGATTTCGCTAAACAGCGATTTCTATGGACTGGATTATCGTCATGCAGGGCACTACTGTATTTCAAAAGGTTTAATTATATAGTGCTTAAAAAGTCAGAATTGCCCACCTTCCACCAAAGACATTTTTTCTGCACCAGTTATCTTTTGGACTCTTCTTCCACCAAGGACATTCTAACTTTGGGGGCAGTTGGAAAGAGCCAGTCACCTTTTGGAGCCTGGATGGATCTACCCAACCCTCTCTGAGCATGACTGGAAGTGAATGGCTGGCCAGAGCAGCCCCATAATTCAGAGACATAGGCAGCCTGCTTTGTGTACACATCGGAATGACCCACTACAACCTGAGCTCAAATACTGAGCGGAAATGGCCACTCATAACCTCTGTGGTCTGAAGTCAAGAACATTCTTTATGAGAATTTCAGATACACCGTGGCTCCTTCTGGGACTGAGCCATGGCTCAAATGATGCAATGATGGTGATTTCCAACCCCATAACATTTCCCAGAACTTTCTTCCCAGTTCATTTGATCTTACACAACATCCAAAACTTCATCGCTGGTCTCTTTGGTGCTTAAAGTCCTTATCCTTCCGTCAGATGGTTTTTGTTTGCCTTCACAGGCAAGAAGGAAATGCAGACATCTTGTTTACGCAAATTATCAGCTAGTTTTATTGCTTTTAGTACTTTTTAGTGTGGAGGGATTGGCGGCAAGGAGGGGACACAATGTTTTCTACTCTTGCCATTACTGTGTGTTGCATGTCTAGACTTTTCAGATCAAGGGTGGATGGGACTATTGCTGCATGCAATGGATATTTCTTTGTATATATGTGCGTTTTTAATACTGCTCTCCCAATCTTTACTGGCTCAACAGCTTTTGGTACCTCTCAATTCCTGGTGAACCCTTTGGAACCCCAAAATGCAGACAAGATCAGAGTGAAGATAGCAGATCTGGGGAATGCCTGTTGGGTGGTGAGTATGCTCTTTTCCCCACCCCAGTAAAATAGGGAAGAGTGTGGGTAGGGCTGCCTATAGGGAGAAGGAAATGGGAGTTGTATTGCAGCGGGGTGACCTATCAGCTGACCTGGGAGAGAATTGAGAAGTGTCTAATCTAATGGATGGAAAAGAAAGCTTTCAGAGTGCCCTGTAGAGGTTCAGCTGTGAACTTCGAAGTTACAGAGCAAAATCACCCTCTTTGTCTTCTACCATCCTTAAAGAAAAGAGAACAGTGCATCAGAAATACTGCAGGAAGGAAATCAATTTTTTTCAGAGCTTAGAAGAAAATAAATCATTATTTTATTACTCATTAACTTCATTGGTACATCACCATTCCTTTCACAAGTTTGGTCAGTAGATGGATATGGGGAATGCTACTCGAGTCCCACCATGTCATTGTGAGGCTGGATAGGTTCAAGGTGAGAAACCTGAGGCAGGTTAACCTGATGAACTTCATAGGTGAGAGAGAGTATTGGATTTCTGATCTTTCTGGCAAGAACAGCATTAATTTATTATATACCATATGGTATAATACAGTAGTTAAATGTTCTTGCCAGATATGGTATAGTGGATGCAGTGACAGACTTGGACTTAGGAGATCTGGGTTCGAATCTATGTTCAGCCATGGAAACTTGTGGGAAGGGGTGGCAGTTCTAAAAATACTTAAATATCTCACCTTGAAAGCCCTTTACTTTACTTTGGCTATGGTACTTTCATACAGGTAAAAAAAATAAAGCTTGTGTTTACTCAAACAAGTAAAAGAGCAGGGATGGGCTGGTTCACAATATCTTGTATGTCATGTGGTCACCAGGAAAAGGAGCAAACTGGCCCATTCCCAGGGTGGGCCAAACCACAGAACAAATCCCCATCTGATAATAAAGTCTAAGAGAGAGAGGAAGTGTGTGTATCTGTATCTCTTCATTTTTGAATGTCAGAACTACAAGGCAGCCCAGGTGGCTGTGGCAATTGAAAGGGCGGTGTCTCGTCAGAGGCAGGCTGGCCTCACTGGGACGGGGGATGCCTTTGCTGAGGTAGACGGTGAAATCAGACAGGCTTCCTCAGTTCCGTGGGGATGTACACACACACACGCTCTGACCGAGGCCATTGTGATGGGGAGATGCTTTTGAATTACCTCAGAGAGAGTTAAAGTTTTGGGTTGCCTCACTGAGAGTCGCATTTCCTCTCCGAGGAATGTAATTGTAAGCATGCGGTCAGGCTTAGAGATTCAGCCTGCTTTTATTCCTCAGTGAGTAATCACAAAAATAAAGCATTATAAATGAAAGAGATGAGCACAAGGAACAGCATGTATTTCACCACAGAGGAAGCACGTTCTAGTTTGACACCCACCCACCCCCAGTGGCTATTTGAAGGCTGTTGCTTGTCAGGGCGTTGCATTCGGGAGATGCTTAGACTCCACTGTTTTCCATGCCTGTGTGAGAGGAGTTTTTGTCTTGTTCTTAATTTTTTTCAGCATAAACATTTTACAGAGGATATTCAGACTCGCCAGTATCGAGCACTGGAGGTCCTCATTGGTGCCATCTATAGTACTCCAGCTGATATCTGGAGCACAGCATGTATGGTATGTTCAAGGAACTCTTTTCCTGGGTCCTATAGTTGCTGTCTTTTTATTTCATTACTTAGGGTTAGCCTTTTAACTCAAAGTATATTCACATTGGCAGGGAACACACTGTGTTTTGTCCTGAGAAAAGAAGCAAAATGGGTGTGCCTTCACTTGATTCACTTTTCTCTGGAGTTTTACATTAAACTAGCCTTGAAATCCTAGTTCTCAATTGTACATCATGAGAGAGGGTCGTTATCTGGAACTGGGAAAAGTTATTTTGGGGGACTGTAACTTCTAGAATCTACCACCAAACAAGGTCAGTGGTGCTATTGGTTGAGGGACTTGGACAATTGAAAAAAGTAAGTTTTGTAAGATGTGGAAGAGGGATTTCATCAACCTTGTGCTGAGCCTTAGAAAGCAACAAGGTGATCTCTGAAAATTCAGCACAATGAAGATGAGTTTCAGCCCTTGCTACCCAGCATATTTTAGAGACAGTGAAAATAGTGCTGCCATTTTTTAAAATGTCCAAGCAAATGTTAAAATCTGACATTTGTTTCCACAACAATGAAATAGCTTCTGTTTGTTAAATTGTCAGTTGCCTCACATTTCCTTCATGCTTTGAAAGATTTCTTTCTTATTCTTATGCTAAATGAAGCTAAATGAATTAAGTTACTTGTTTGGTGGTGAAATGTGCTCTTCCTTTATTGATAATCCCTTTTCTAATGTAATAGCCACACACTTGAAGAACCGCCTCTTTCCATGTGAGCCTACCCGGCAGTTAAGATCCAGCCAGAGGGCTCTTTTGAAAGAGCCGTCCCTCAAGGAGGTAAGAGGGCTGGCTTGTAGACAAAGGGCCTTCTCGGCAGCTACCCCCAGACTATGGAACGCCCTCCTGACTGAAATTCGTCTGGCGCTGACGTTGATGACATTTCGGCGCCAGGTCAAAACCTTCCTGTTCCAGAAGGCTTTTAATTGAAATAACATCAACTGTGGGTCCTGATGATGGCAATTTTAATTGTATTTTAATTGTATTTTAATCATTTTATCTTTTATTGTATTGAATTTTAATTGTCGTAAGCCGCCCAGAGACTTCTGAGTAGAGTGGGCGGCACATATATATAAATATATATAAAAATAAAGTAGTATGACAGAGGAAGGTTTGTATTAAAACCTCACTCCCTTCAGAAGGTTACTTTCAGGTTGATTTCAGACCACTGGCAGGTATGTCTGGGAGACATACTTGAAAGTGGTATTTCAGTCCTCAACATCCTCCAAAAACTGGCCTCCTTAAAATATCTCCTTGGTGATGGTTTTATCATATGACTGAGTCATTTTGATGCAGTTGCTTATAGTGAAGTTAGAGGCATTTTCTTCTAAGGTTGGATTAAAGCTCTCAAGAAAAAAGTATGGGCTTGTCAGTCCACCATCTTCTGACAAATACACGCCTCCCTGAAGAAGACTTCTCAGAATAGCCACACAGTATTGACAACCAACTCACAGAGGACGTCAGCTTAAGTGTCACACCCTGAGAATAGCTCTCTGGGTGCTCTTGCAATTGAGTTTGGGTGTATCACGGCAGGTGTTTGGGCTGGGAACTGCCGATCACCTCTTTGAACTGGTATGTAATCGCATATATTTCAGATATCAGTCACAGTTTTTCTTCAGTGGTGGGGTAGGGTGGCAGGGTCGCTTCAGCTGTTTGCTGCTTTGGCTAGTTGAGTAAGACCACCCCAAAAACTTTTACAGAACTCAACCCACGTGGCCTGTTACTTGGACTTCTTTACTGCCCTGACTGTGGTATGCTTGCAGTGCCTCCTATTTGCCAGCAACTGGTGTTGGCGTGCTAGATGGATCCCCACCTAATGTGTCCCATTGTTCATGAGCCACTGAGGATTTCTGCAATTAACACTGGTTGGTTCTTTAAAAAAACATGATGGGCCATGGGGAAGAAGCAAGAGCTTGCCTTGCACTTAATTAGTAACTGGAAACTGCAGACAAGGTGGATTTGATTTAAGCCAGATTTATTTAAATCGTGGTTTAAATTTTAAAAATCTGGATTTTTTACAATTTGATTTTTAAAAAATATCATTTGGGGGGAAGTATGGCAAGCAAGCCACATGTCTCTGTCCCCCAACCCTTACCCTCTGTTTGCACCCCTTAGAGTCTAGTGCCCGAGGAGGACATCTCTAATCATGATAAAGTCAGCTCTGGGAAGAGAAGAGTTCTCTTAATTGATTCCCATGAATAAAGTTGCAGCCTCCACCCTGAGTAATTCCCTACTTTCTTTGGCAGGCGTTTGAGCTGGCCACGGGCGATTACCTCTTTGAACCGCACTCCGGCGAGGATTATACCAGGGATGAAGGTAGAGAGCTCCAACTTGTTGAACCAATCAGGGTGGAAGTGCATATGAAGCCTGGCCAACCCTCAAATAACCCTTCATCCATCACCCCCTAACATCTTTTTGCAGACCATTATTGATTGACTGATTGAGTGACTGATTGTTTTGACTGATATACCACCCCTTAGTGCTTAAAGCACTCTCTGGGCAGTTTACAACATAATTAAACCAGGAACATTTCCCCCCCCCCCATGAGCTGAGTACTCATTTTTCTGATCTCAGAAGGATGGAAGGCTGAGTCAACCTTGAGCCAGCTGCCTGAGCCTGTTGGGATCAAACTCAGGTTGTGAGTAGAGGTTCGACTGCAATATTGTAGTTTAACCACTGCACCACAGGGCTCATTACTGAGAATGGACCCATTGTGCCTTTTGGCTTGGGCCCAGCCCTTTCCACTTCCTCATTTTGCTGCTATATGTCCAAGATCAGTTGGGAGGCAAGGTCCGGGGACGGTGCTCAGAGCAGGAGCTCTAAAACAGAAGTTCCTCCCATGGCTGTGAGGTGTAACGTGTTTAAAGCTCAGAACCATGGCTGTTTCTCCCCTTTCAGATCATATTGCCCATATCATTGAGTTACTGGGTGACATCCCACCACACTTTGCTCTGTCAGGGCGTTATTCCCGTGAGTACTTCAACCGACGAGGTAAGTTGGGAAGTGCAAAGATCCTTTATTGGAGGATGTGGTTCTGAGGAGACATGGGTTCAAAGCCTGTGTGGGGGAGTAGAGTTGTGAGGCCTTGGTGTGTATATGAGAGAAAGAGATTTTTGGTGAACAAAACCAGAGGTAAAGCTCGAAAATCCGTAAACTTCGTGGCCTTTAAAGCACGGTGTGTAGCCCGTGTTTGCCATCCTGGTTAATATGGAACTCACTCCACCAACCTATTCTTTCGTGTCAAAAGTAACGTTAATGTGGTGATACGAAGGCTAGTGTTTCTGCACCCTCAGGTGATCGTGCCATAAAAGCTTTATCTGTTTTTATAAATGCTTCCGCCCTTGAGAAGGACAGAACTAGGGCTACCCCCCCCCCCCCCC